AGGGTGACCAAGGCAGTCTCTGTACCAAAGCCCAGCCTGAAACCTGATTGAGATGGATCCAGAAAATCCGTTTCATCCAGCAGCGCCTGGAGTTGCCCAGCAACAACCCACTCGGACACCTTTCCCAAATAAGGGAGGTTTGCCACTGGTCGGTAGTTAACCACCAGCCTTGGGTCCAGGTTAAGCTTTTTAAGGAGTGGCCCAATTACCACCTTTTTCAAGGTGGCAGGGACCGCTCCCTCTCTCAAAAGGCATTCACAGCCTCCTGGACCCACCTCCCTGGCAGATCTTCCAATTAGCCAAGATGGGCAAGGCTCGAGCGGAGTGGTGGTAGAACGGACAGATCCAAGCACCCTGTCCACATCAACAGGTCTCAACAATTGAAACTCATCCATTAATATTTGACCTAAGCACAGCACACTGGACGCATCCTCTGATTTTGCAGTAACGGTGGAGTCCAGCCCACTGTGAATCAGTGATTTTTCCCTCAAAATGAATGGCAAACTCATCACAGAGAGCTGATGAGTGGTCTGGGACCGCCACTGGATTTCCTGGTTGAAGAAGATCTGCTGGATGACATTCTGAGGAAGCAATATGGATGGTGTAATATTGCTTTTTCGCCAGCCATATTGCCATGAAATAGGCCCAAAAATGGGCTCTAAGTCGTGTTTGATCAGATTCCCAGCGGGATTTCCTCCACCTACGCTCCAGCTATCTCCCCTCTCACTTCATCGGCCACAGTTCAGATGTATAACAAGGAGCTGTCTGAGCTCTGCGTGCAGGGAGAGGGCGTTTAGGTGCAATCGTGTCAACCGCCCTGGTCATCTCCCTATTCCATAGGGTGACCTGAGCTTCAACAGGAACACAGACCATACCAGACGGATAATCCCCCAGAGCATTCAGGAAACCATTAAACTTCAAGGGCGGATCATCTTAATAGATCCCCCACCCTTGCAGAGGAGAGGAGCAGATGACTAAACTTGACCAGGAAGTGGTCTGACCATGACAATGGGATCACAACCAGCCCCTCCACATCCAAACCACCATCTTCCAGTCACATTGAGAAAACCAGGTCCAAAGTATGTCCCTTCTCATGTGTCGGGCCAATGACACATTGAGACAGCCACATGGTTGTCATGGCGGCCATGAAGTCCTGAGCCGCCCCAGTCAAGGCAGCCTTGGCATGGATACTAAAGTCCCCCAGCACCAAAAGCCTGGGAGTCATCAACACCATCAACACCAGATCTGAGACTACCTGTATCAGCTCTGGCAGGGAGACTGCTGGTACACACAGCAGGGTGGGCAGTACCCCACCAAAATCCCCAATCTGTCTTGTAAGCCCGACATGCAATACAGGCCCTCAAGACCTCCTTTCAAAGAGATAAGAAGCCTGGTCAAGGAGATAGAATTCCTATAGACTATAGCAACTCCCCGTCCCCGACCCTCCGAGCAACATTGGTGCTGGACCAAGTACCCAGGCAGACACAGCTGAAAGAGGGGAACACCACCCTCCTCTCCTACCCAGGTCTCAGTAATACAGGCCAGGTCAGCAGCCTTATCCAGAATTACATCATGGATGAGGGCAGTCTTATTTTGTACTGACCTGGCCTTCATCAACAGCACCAGGTGGCTCGAGGGTTTGCTGATATGGTCACCTGATACCATCTGGTTGGGGGTACGACCAGAAGAAGGGACAGATGTACAATATCTAACCTCTTTACCCCCACCACCATTCTTTCCCCTACCCAGCACCACCTCAATGGCTGCCCCCTCCAATGCCCTGCCCCTTCCTGTTCCCTCAGATCCACTGTGGGTCTCTACTTACTCAACCTGATGGCAACTGACAACCCAACCACAATAAAACCCCTTCTAAAGCCCCTTCTCCCCTGAGCCAGATGGCTGGTGTTGAGGCGGGGGTGGAGCAGTCAGAAGAAGCAACGAGGGCCCAGTCCTGCAAGGCAGGGGGAGTCCAAGCCAAGCTCCCCCAGGAAGGCTGGCAGCCGACAGCAGCACAGCCACACTGTCTCTCACCCAGTGCCTGTGGGGCGGCAGATGATGGCGACTCCCTGGACGGCAGGAATGTTGGTCCGGCCTTCCTTATCACCTTCTACTTTTCATTAGTGATACCAGGCAATGAAACTTGTGGTCTGCTCCATGTAAAGCAGATGCCCTTGCAGTGACTTATGGTACCCTCCTCCATTAAAAACCCTGACCAAACTAAGTATAGCAATCATCACCCTTATGTGAGTGTGTCACAACTACTAAACTGTGAGCCACAGTTCCCTTTAGAAAGCAACAAATTTATCACCCTTATGTGTGTCACAACTACTAAACTGTGACCCACAGTTCCCTTTAGAAAGCAACAAATTTTACAGCATCAGTTCAATATGGGAACACAAGCATTGCTTTACAGCAGTGGTTTCCAACCTTGGGTCCCCAGAGGTTCTTGGACTAATAACTCAGAAATTCTGGCCAGCACAACCAGTGGTGAAAGCTTCTGGGAGTTTTGGTCCAAAAACATCTAGGGACCCAAGGTTGGGAACCATTGCCTTATAGCATGTGTGGTTTCCAACCTTGGGTCCCCAGAGGTTCGTGGACTAATAACTCAATAATTCTGGCCAACACAACCAGTGGTGAAAGCTTCTGGGAGTTTTGGTCCAAAAACATCTAGGGATCCAAGGTTGGGAACCATTGCCTTATAGCATGTGCAGAATAGGCCACATGAATAGATAATACTTTAAGATAATGCACAAAAATATTAGGTTTGATAGGAAGAATTCGAAAGTTGCAGTTGTATCCAATTCTACAGGACATTTCCAAGTAAGGATGGATAGGACTAGGTTTGATACAGCTTGGTACTATATATGTACACAACACATTTTGAAATGATTTTGCTCCTGGTGATAATATTGAAGGATTATAGGCTAACAGCCACAAGAGATGCTTGGCAACATAGATCACAATCCTGTGCAAATTGAGCTCCAACTAAATCACCAATTTCAAAGTACACAGTCAGATATACCTAACTGCACAGAGTCAGTTGTGAGAATAAGAAATAATTAGAAAATCAAAAATACTTACTCTTCTTTCCCTGCCAACCTTGATGCATACTTGGTGTACCACAAAGCCACGTTAAACCCCATTGAAATGAGTTCAAACACAGCGTCCTGCTGGGAACTAAAGGAAAACAACAACAAAAGCAGTAGTATATTTTTTGTCCTTTTTATAAAACATCTAATTTAGGACTGTGGCACACAAGGAAGTCCATTCATGTCTCACAGAGCTTGGAAAAATTACTCTTTTTTAATCACTACTCTAAGATTCCATTGGCCACTAACTATGTTGGCTGGGGGATTCTGGGAGATGTATTTCAGAAAGGTAATTTTTCTAATCTGATATTTTAAACATTCACAGCATTTCTAAACATTTACAGCTCAATACACAGCTACTCAGAAACAAGCTCCATCAGCTTTAGTGTAGCTTATTCCCAGGCAAGTGCATACACAACTTCATCATCAGAAAACAAAACAAAACAAAAACCTCTAGTGTTTAGCACCCATTCTGCATCCACCCATTCAAAATCATGTGAGCAAACACTGAAGTATTTAAATGTATGCTCTTCACATAAGAGCTTGAAAAGGACAATTGTTTTGTCAGAAACAACTTGAGCTCTGTTTTAGTCTCAATCAAGAATGGCTGAAGCATAACTCTGGAGGGGGGGGAATGCTCCATGAATGTTCTCCACCAAAGTGAAAAACACAGAAGTACCACCCAGCTAAGTTACTACTGAACCTCGAGTACAACTGAAAATGTATATTTCACAATATTTTCAAAAAAACTAGAAAATTCTTAAATGTTCATGCACACTGTATCAATCTTTAGCTGGTTATTGCTTAGCCATCTGAGCTTATACTAGCCAGAATTCTCCTGCTGTCTGCATTAAAGTTCATATAATTTGCTGCAGCTCTGCAACATACGAGTGCACTCCACCAACTCATCAAGTAGCCACAATTTGCTGTAGCAAATTTTGCACACTTTACGTGATTACCAGCAGGATTCTGACCACTGTCACATGGCAGAACTTTTCTTTTTTAAAATCATGCAAAATGTCTGTTTTCATGCACCAACAACTTGTCTAATTGCACTACTCTTGTTTGAATATTCATACAGTATTTGGGGCTATGTGAACTCTCTTAACAAAAGCTAAAGAAGTGGAAAAGGAAGAAACAGCTAAGGAAGTAACCTCATGGGGCAGCCACAGCCTGACACAAATTAAGGAAATAGGCATGATGATATCAAAGGAGTTCAACCCAAACTTTTATCTGGCCCAGCATCCCTGTTCCAAAGAGCAATCCAATAATTTTGGGCAAAGCAGTGATAATAGATCTTGTCTAGACTACAACTCCCAGAACCTCCCAAATAGAATGGTCACTGGCCATGTTGGCTAAGGTATTCTGGGAGCTGTAGTCCAGGAAGCTAAATCCACCACCACCCCGCTCGGGTTCTTTGCAGCCCAGAAATTGAGCTTGAAGAAAATGTCTCACTCCCTTGGCCCCCAGCAATCGGTACTCAGAGACATATTACCTCTGAACCTTGAAGTTCCCATTTGGCTAACAGTCACTGAAAGAACTATCTAAGAACATAAAGATATCTATGATTTACATCAATATGTCTGTAAACTACATATTTTCAAAGCTTGATCTAATTAGAAAATGGATGATTGAGTCCAACAATGTGAGAAGAAGAGGGAGAAATAGGTCACTTATATCTGTAAGGACGCCCCAAAGAAGCTGTACAGAGCACTGATGCACCACTTAATATATTAGTTTCAAGTACACTTCAGTTGTCTCATAACTGTGGAAAATAGAAAACTATTGCTAAAAAGAAAAACAGAATCAAAGATGCACAGAATAGAGGAGCCTGAAGACAAGGTCATTGCTCATGAAGAATCCAAGCACATACTCCATGCTTTTCCATAGCAAAATGTTATAATGCAGGAGTATATCTCACTGAGCTTGGGTGGCATGCAGAGGATTCAACCTACAAGGTTTTCACTTTGGTTTGTAATTATAGCAAGTAAAGTACTATTAGTCACAAGTAGGTCCTTTCTTTTTATGAAAGGAGGAACAAATAAAAGTCTCGTAACATCACAATATGAACTTGGTAATCTGTCAAATTACTTAACTATTTCAACTACATCTGGTAAGATTATTTCATACCCTGTTTCCATGAAAATAAGCCCTAGTATGATTTTTCAAGTTGCTCGTAATAGAAGCCCTACTCCCCCAAATAAGCCCCAGTTAAATGAAACCCACCCTCCACCATTGTGCAGCTTGTGCAGCAACCAGAAGATGACATGACTGTATTTAAATAAATATAGATTGTTGTACATGAAAAAAAAAACTGAAAATAAGCCATAATGCATTGTTGGAGCAAAAAAAATAAAAGACCATGTCTTGTTTTTGAGGAAACACAGGCAATAGGAACTGGAAACAAAATGTATGTGTACCTTGGTACTTGACCTTGCAAAGTGTCTGTCCACTTAAAATTCTGAATGTATCTCAGCTTGCTGTCCTGTGAAGAGTCATCCAGTGAAGCTATAAAGCCTGTTAAAATAATTATAATGATAATACATGTTTCCAAATAAAGGTCAAAATTATCATTTCAATATGGTCATCTTGATCCTCCATGATGTTTTCAACTCTTTGTCTTATATATGCATTTTTTTCATACATTACATGCTGAACTATATTGGCATCAAATACACACAAGAAGGAAGCAGTAACATGCTTGGGGAAAAACTGCAAGATTTGCAAAGGTCAAAACAATATATTTTTTAAAAAATAAAATACCTAAGCGTAAGGCCTGGACCAGCTCAGTGATTACAGTAGCAGAACATATGTTTTCTGTTGCAGATAGCAATTGAATGAAGTACCCTGGAAGTGCCATGAACCCAAGACAGGAACACTCTATATTTAACATGTCCCACTTATACAACAGGAGAAATAGGAGGATGGGTGGGAGGAATATATGACAATCAGTTAAATGCATTTAATAGTACAAAAGCTTAGGTAAAAGGTATCATGGCACCTAACAAAACTATCAATTCCTTCTGATAGACAATGTTTATAATTCCATATAAAAAAGAAAAAGTATGTTTTTTTGTTACTTCAACTTATACACAGCCCTATAATGCTAGAGTAGCTTAGCCCTTCCCACTACAGCAGTAACAAAAGATTACAGCTGCCTAGCATATGAGAGGGGCACTATTGCGTAATACATTAAGGTCTTCCGTTTATGTATATTAAGGGTTTTTTCTTTAGTTTAGGCCTTTTTATTATTAGATATTTTCTTTTGTTCTGTCTCTCCTTTCTTTAAAATAAATTTTAAAAAAGATTATGGTTGCCTACCATATAAGAAAAGGACAAAGACAAAAGCTGACAAAACAGCCTATTAAGTGGTTGGCCTGAAAAACAGGGAGAAGTGAGAAACAAGATTAAATTGAGGTGACGTCTGTACCTCTGCAAAGACTAATAGATGCTTGGCCATTGAGTTAAACTGATACATCTTTGGCTGGGTTTCACTTTCCCAGCCAATGGAAAATGGGCCTACTTCCAGCTCTACAAGTCCTTTTCTGAATCAATATCAGTATATTTCCCCCAATCTAGCTGCCTTGCATTGGCTGCCCGTTAATTTCAGCATTGATTTCAAGGTGTTAATAATGACATATAAAGCCCTAAACAGTTTAGGACCTCAATATCTAGCGGAACGCCTCCTCCCACCTATATCTACCCGAATCACTCATTCTAGGCAAGACAGGTGGCTGAGGGGCCTAACGCTGAGAGAGGCCTGGAAAGAAAGAACAAGAAACCGGGCCTTCTCAGCAGTGGCCCCTCGCCTCTGGAACAGTCTGCCTGCAGAGATCTGTCTGGCTCCCTCACTGGGGGTTTTTAAGAGCAAACTTAAGACCTGGCTCTTTAGGTAGGCTTTTCCTCCACATCGCCTAATTACTTTTACCATCTTGAATTATATTATTACTGTTGTTTTTATTTTATTATATTGTTTTTACTTTTATGCATCATTGTTAGCTGCCCAGAGTAAACTTCGGTCTAGATGGGTGGAGTATAAATTGAATGGATGAATGAATGAATGAATAAACAAGCAAGCAAACAAGCAAGCAAGCAAGCAAGCAAGCAAGCAAGCAAGCAAGCAAACAAACAAAGTAACTTATAGCACAATCCTAGGCATATTTACTTTGAATTGAGTTCAACCAGGTTCAACAGGCTTATTGTCTGGGAAATGTGTATACCAACACAGTTTAGTGCTGCAATCTTTATGTCTATTCATCTAAGACAAAGTCTTGCTGAAGCCACTGGGACTTCCTCCAGGGGAATAAAATCCATGATAATTTGTTTAAACCAATGTTTGTTGAAAAAATATTTTAAAAATAAGAAAAATCACATTTCTGCAGCAGCTAAGCAATTAACGCATGCCCCCTATTGTAATCATTTGGTTGATTGGTTTTGTAGTTCTCAAAATTGTGACTTTTTGTCCGCACAGACAATATATCTCTTTTTTAACAACAAACATGTTTGTTCAGTAAGACACCTTAATTCTATTGTTTCTCTCTAAATCTATGTGTACAGAATCAACTCCTTACATCTTAAAGGCTAAGTTTCAAGAAATTCAATGAACACAAGATTGTTTGAGGTGGAGCAGATATGGACAAGGAGATGTTAAGAGCCAAGTATGAAGAAGGAAGGGCAAGCAGTACAAATAAAAGTGAAACTTTTACAGAATGCTTCAGATCTTTGTGAATGCAATTTGAGAGTTTTCATGATATTCGCTCCCTTGAACAGAAAACTTACAATGGTAACACGCTATAAAATTGACCCAGTTTGGGGATATTTTAAAATAGTTCCTCTTCATATAGATTTGGCAGGCAGGTGTACAAAATGAAAACAGTGCAAACCAAACAATAATTAATTTTCTGTTATAACTGCAAAGCTACCTGAAAATGTATTATTCTAAAAATGGAACCTTCATCTGGCTTGTAAATATTAAGGTTATATCAACCAACATGAGTGAGCCTTTCTTGAAAAAACATGATTTATATTAAGCCCAACTAACTAGTGACTTAAATCATGATTTAAATCAAATCCACCCTGCTTCCTTCTCAATAGATATGCTTAGGGAGTTCACCATAAATTGCACTTTTCATTCAAGAGTTTGTTTATTTGTGTATGCTGTTCAATAGCTCTGATTGTTTGAAACTTTTCAAAATAAACTGAAACAAATTGCTCCTTACATATTACAAAAAAGTATTTCAATATTTAAGTGGAAAAACTTGCCATACTGAAGAAGGTATTCAGAGTCCGACAGCATTCTTCCACGAGTTTCCATGTTTCATATACATTGGTTTAAAGAGACAGACAGCCTCTAGACCATCAGGACCACCCTCCATTCCAATTTCCAACCTACAAATACCCTAACATAGTATAGACTCTCTGCTGTAAAGCATAAAGCACAGATTTCAGAGGCTTCTGTGATGCACTTTCATTTAAGGAAGCTACCAATAATAAACGGTAATTAGGTTAGCTGCACAGATTGCTTACCTTTCAAGAGGGAAAAATAAGAGTCAGTTGCATTTTTTATCATGTCTGGATTACAACTCAAATCTGTGAAAAGTTCCAAAAGACATGTTCTGGATGTCCTTAAATCACTGTATATTGAAAACAAAAAACTTCAGTAATTCAAGAAAGAAACCTCTGAGCTATTCATTCAAAGTGTTGTTATTTTTTACAAAGAGAAATGTATGTTCATGAATCCAGCAATGGCAGTGTCTATTGCATAAGGGCAGCAATTCCCAATGAGCCAGGACATTTATGGGTACATGAAAAAATTGAGTAACAGTAGGAAAAAGCACATACGTTAACAGTGTAAGTCACAATACAAGTCAAAAGTTGTTAAATTAATTGAATTTTATAACAAATGGTGGAGTGGGTCTTCTTCATTATTTAACCTTGAGAAAAGCCCTGTTTCCCCACTTTGTTATTCTGACAAATGGTGGGAAGTCCTTCTCTAAAAACAACATGTTTAGTTACAGTTATAACATATAAATCTGAAATAACAGCAACCATATTGATTACAAACATTTTACTAACATGAAAGCTACAATTTATGGAAATAGGCTGCCAAGAGATATGCAACTAAAAAAGGTTGGGAACCATTGCATGTGGGCAAATGAGGCACAGTGCTGTTTCAGTCTCAGGCTGTGCCCAGCTAGTCCACTTCTGCCTGCCACCTTGCCAGGGCATGGAGGATCAGTGCTCTATCTGTTTTTACCTTCTGAATTTGCAGCATTTTTTCAATCTAAAGTGGAGGCCATCCGCCGGGATCTCTCTCCTTTTTTAAATACAGTGAGTCGAGCAGAGATGTCCAGCACTCCGTCTTGCCCGGTAATCCTTGACTGCTTTCAGGCTGTGACACCGGATATTGTGGACAAAGCACTTGATCGCTGTCGTGCCTCCTCCTCCCTTGACCCTTGTCCGGCCTGGCTAATCAAAACAGCCCGGCCTACAACGACTGAATGGGCCACAGCGATAATTAATGGGTCTTTCCTTGAGGGCAGGGTCCCTCCTGCCCTCAAGGAGACACTCATTAGGCCCGTAGAAAGAAACCAAATTTGGCAGCGGACAAAATTGGCAATTACAGACCCGTCGCCAATGTTTCTTTCATCAGTAAAGTGGTGGAGAGGGTGGTGGCTGACCAGCTTCAGGCTCTTTTGGATGAAACAGATGCCCTGGATCCATTTCAGGCGGGCTTCAGGCCGCGCCACAGTACAGAGACGGCATTGGTCGCCCTGTAGGATGACCTGTTGAGGGAGGCTGACAGGGGTAAAATATCCCTGCTGGTTCTCCTTGACATCTCGGCAGACTTTTAAACCATCGACCACGGTATCCTCCTGGGGAGGCTCTCTGAGTTGGGAATTGGTGGCCTGGTGCTTGCCTGGCTCCGTTCCTTCTTGGGGGTCCAACCCCAGAGAGTCCAGCTTGGGGAGAGTGTCTTGGCCCCGTGGAGTCTCAATTGTGG